CTCAGTAGTTTTTAAACTGGTTGGTGCCGGCAAGCACAGGAATTTGCTGCAGGCTGAGTTAGGTATCGTATATTATATTCAGGTTAAAGTATAAGTTTAGACACCCCTAGTCAAATGACTCATTTTGTAGACTAAGTGAAAAGTAGTTCTGGTAACCCCTTCAGGGGACAAACTTATAAGTGACACATCTGCAGGTTGTCGTGCACATCTAGGATTTGCTGACTTTGTAGCCGATCTCCAGGGAAATCTAAAACCTCCCTTTTGCGAGGGGGCTGCCCCCATACTGCAAGATTGAAGGGAACCTGGGTAAGGCCCCATTGACACCAGGGCGGGTGTGTTTCAGTGCAAATTTTAAAAGGGTGGTTTTGAACGTTTTTAATCTATGTAATCGCAATTTAGAGCTCAAACGCAATTAAAATCTCGCTAATCAGCATGTTTCAGTTCAAATCTGTATGGAATCCATGTTGATCAGCGCGGAAAAAGGCTTGTGGAGCATTTCTGGCGGTTTGCATGGAGCGATCGCTTGAACGGTCCCCATAGGAATGTATGGGATCGTTCATGTCGGCGGTTCAGTGCAGACAAATCCGCCCTGGTGTGAACGGGGCCTAAAGGACTCATACTTGTCTACACTGCTTCCAGGCTCCAAAACAGACATATGCAGCCTCTTCTGCCCCTATGCACCGGCAGTCCGGACGCCCACTGGCGTCATCACATGTAGTGCAGGGCACATAGCCCTGCAATATACAGTGGTACCTCAGTTCACGAACGCTTCTGTACGCGAACAGAAAGTTTTGGCAAAATGTTGCTTCCGTTTGCGAACTCCATATCGGGTGACTACCATGACTGCAGCCACCTTCCCCGCAGACGGACCTGTGCACACTTGCTGTGAAGCTTTTATGTGTGCTTTTTAGCACATGCAGTATTTGATTCGGTTCGCGACCAGAATCGTGGAACAAATTAATTTTGTGAACCGAGGTGCCTAATAGGTTGGACTTGATGGACTAATGTCTTTATTCAACCTCAAATACTATGTAACTATGTACTTGGACACAGTCTATAAGCTGTAGCATAGGAGAGATGAGGAGAGCCCCAGCTGCAGGGGAGTAGGGATCAGATAAGTAAAACTGCTTAACCTAGGTACCCTAGACCTAATTGAGCAGTTCAACCATGTAGTGCTGGGGCAGTCCCACTGCAAGGTGGTAGGTGTTCTGTAGTTCTAATATACTTCCCTGGCTAGGGTGACAACACTGCTTTTATAGATACAATACAGTGAGCAGTATAGCCATGGGTGCACCACTCCAAACTGACCTGGCCAACTTGAACTGGAGTAAGTACCCCATACTCGCTTGCTGTCAGTTGGCGGTCCTAGGATTTGTTCACTTTATGTGCAGGAATGCTGTGAGCATGCACGCTTGTAGGCAGCAGTGGGAGTGTGTCCTGTAGTACACATATGCTTCTTTAGACACATACCTGTGAGAGTTGCTGGGGATAGGAAAGGGAGGAAGTGAGAGGAAGGGAAGATGTCTTCTCAAAGGGTACAAACGGAGAGAAGGGAGCCCATAATAAATCAATGTTCTTACAAAGGTGGAGTAAGGTGACAAAATAGGCCATTGGGTTGAGATATTTTCCATCATGCATGTGCAGACTTTGTTTTATATTTTGGCAAACTGTGCAGGAAAATGAGCAAAAATGTGACATCTGTTCTGTACAGAGGTTGTTTGTAACAAGCAAAGCCTTTCATTTCACCAGTAGAGTGCTTTTTTCAGTCCCACTTCAGGGAAAACTGGTCAGGGTAGAAATGTGTGAGTTGCCACTGTCGACTTGTTTTTGAAGGTGCTCCATGGCTGTCATTTTTCTTACTTGGCTAGTCTGTGATCCTGCACATAGCATGCAGGTTGGGGGTTCTGCATGTACTGGTTGCATGCTGTTTCCAGGTCACTTGGTCAGTAGTAAAGCAAGGATAAGGATGAAACCTTGAAACGTGCATTTTTAAAATCAAGTTGGCATTAACGGCATCCGCACTGCTCTCCTGGCAGGTTTCTATTGAAGTAAGTATGGGAAATGTACTGTGTAACCGGCTCTGTGTTTCCTCCAGGCTGCTTTCTGTGTCTATAGAGTGAAAAGCAAAGCTATGGACCGGATTTAGCCGTGTGTGTATGAAGCTGCATGAGTGCGGTCTAAGCAGCCTCTGGCCTTTGTAATCACAAATGTTTATAGCTGATAGCATCCAGCAACAGGCGGCTTCCTCTTCCTTCCAGTATTAGTTGGCTAGTCTTGGTATCTGTCTTGCCACAATGGGTGTGTGGACTTTGTCTTTTTACTGTGTAGATATGCATCAAGTTGCATCAGAGTTCAGTGTGCTCCGAGTCAGAGCACCTCCCCACTGACTTGTTAGCCATGTTTAAGAATATATTACTTCTTGAGGAATTATGTAATTAAGTGGAGCTCTCCCTAAACTGTAACGTCCACACAAAACCTTGGGAACTAGTGATAGAGACCCTGTCATGTGGATTCCAGTCATCGCATGCCTTTGCTTTGACCATTTGCCATAAGATTTTGGAACAGGCATCTGCATGCTGTAAAGCACTCGCAGTCCCCCTTATGTCTTTTTTAACCAGCGATGGCCAAATTATTATAGAAATTGGGAGCCAGTCTGTCCAATCTTGGAGCCAGCAGGATTATTTTTAGCAGCAAGTTAAGCTGGCTATACACAGTCACAATTTCGTTCAGAACAAAATGCTTTATTGAATGTTCTTTTGTGTTTTGCTGAGGGTTTTTTTAATTATTTTAATAACTAACATTACCAAAAAGTCTCATCAGGAACGTGTCATTTTAAAGGAAAAGCATGTTCCACCACCCCTAAACTATGGTTATAAGCTGTATAGAAAGGTTTTTATTTTTAGGTGCAATAGAAGTTTACAAAATATATTATCGTATAAAAGATGATTTGAACTTTTTTGAAATCCAATGAAAGCAAGTAAAATCCTCAGATAAAACCCATGTCACACCCCTATATAAATAAGGAGTCATATCTTGTACAGAAGAGGTAAGTGTACATGACAAAGGAAAAAGAATAACTGGCTGTCCTGTTGTCGTCTTGAAGCAGTTTTCCTTTCTAGTCGTTGTGACCCGCTGATTTTTGTAACTTTGGTTAGACGTGTTTCGCTCTTGGGCTTCTCCAGGATGCGTGTGTGTGTGTTCTCTCTCCCTCAGTAACCGCAACTGACAAATCCCATTCACTATGTGGAGCCCCCGAACACAGCACAAGACCGGCTCCAAAGCGCATTATCAGCTATTTGTGATTGTAACTCATCCAACACTGCAAAGGTCTATTTACATGTAATCAAAAATTAGGGATGTCCATCAGTCTCCGGCCACCTAAATTAGGACCCGGCGACTGCCAGATGACCCCGCTCGGAGCGCCGCCCACCGGAGCAGCAGTGACGCGACGATCGGCGAGGTAAGTATGAAGAAAAAAACCCTAGCGCAAGCTTTGGCGCTAGGCATCGGGGCATTTTGACAAGTACTTGTCAAAATGCCCTGTATCGGGCCCGATTCTGATGCTAGCATCGGTATTGGGACATCCCTATCAAAAATCTTTTGATAACTGCCGAAAGTGCTCAATATACGTCCCCTGCTGGTTCCCCCAACAGAGGATATAGTATTTACAGAGCGTTTGGTATTCTCAACATTGTTTAAAGATTACACATGTACATCTCAGGACAGTCTCCTGCATGGGGACACAGCCCATGTTGCTTCAAGTCTATCTATGGGAGAGATGGCGTATGGGCCAGCAGGAGATGTGCAATACATGTTCAAATCATTTATATGAGAATAGATTTTGTAGATTTTATATTGCACCTTAATAAACAAAAAACCCTTTATATAGTCTATATACAATTTTTTCTTTTCTTTAAATACTTAATGGGGTCAAATAAAAAAATTTCTTTTGACCGTAGTGATGAAAACAAAATGAAGGAGCAAAATGGAAAATGAAAGGTGAATGTGGTTTTCGTCCTTCATTACAAATTTGAATGTTAAAATCAAAATAAATTTTGACCCGCATTCATCAATTTCCTGATTACATTATGGAATGTTTTGACTGGGTTAAGATCAGCTGCGACTGAATTAACTTTGCCGCTCACCCTCCCCTTCCTCTCTCGCCCAGTCATAGCTTGCATTCTGGAAAAGAATACTACAAAGAGCCCTGTGATTGGATCAGGTGGATCCTGTCATTCACCTGCCGCCCCTCCAATCAAAGAGCATTTTGCACTCTGGAAAATAATTACAAGTTCTGTGTGAGCGAGGCGGAAGCAGAGGGCGAGCACTGCCAGTGTCTCGGTTGCAGTCACTGATCTTAACCCCTACAGTGCCGGAAGATCAGTGATGTAGGGAGTATCCAATGTCAGTGGAGGGAAGATTTCTATAGTGAGCAGCAGGACATGGGATACATTTCATTAGACACGAGTTTATGTCCCGGGTGCTGTATCCATTACAACATGTTAAAGTATAGCTTGTTGAGCAATAATCATTACAGGTTTAGGTTCTGTTTGTCTTTGTAGTGAAAGTAGAGTGTGATGTATAAAATGTATGTCCCAATTTTCCTGAGCCTAAGCATTCCAGTGTTGGTATGAGAATCTTGGTTGTACCATTCACGAGCACCTCTATTTTCCTGCGTATGGGGTGGGTGTTCTTGCTGCTAGGCCCAGTCTGGTGGTAAGCACCAGTCACTTCTATTTGGCCCCTTTTTAAGCCTGTGACATGTTAATTATTTGAGCTGTTAAGTGCTTTGTGTTATCCAATATTTGTTGGCTTGGTCTTGAGGAAATCTACATTCGGCTCTATACAAAAGAAATTTCCTTTTTTTTTTTTTTTCGTTCAGTGGGCACCTCTGATGGTTTCAGCCGTGGCTGGCCTCAAAAGCCACATTGGTTGCCGTCCACTTTCGCCATCCTCACTTTGTTGTCAGCTTGCTAACATGTTGTTCTTCATCATTTCAGATATTATTACAATAAAAGGATCCTGCATAAAACAAAGGGGAAGAGGTTCACCTATAAATTCAACTTCAACAAGCTGGTTATGCCCAATTATCCTTTCATCAACATCAGACCCAATGGTAAACCTACTCATTGTTTTATTTATTTTTTATCACTGACATTTACATGAACATCATTTTCAATGCAGCTTTCTCGATTTTTATTTGCTTGCCGTTTCATATTTTTAATTTGGATTTCATTTGCAGGCCTACAGTTGCACATTCTAGTGGATTTTAGCACTTCTGACTAAAGAATAAAATGTTCTCTCTAAATCTCGTAAATTTCATGTTGACGTTTCTGGGTGGACTTCATGGAAAAGTGCACTTATCCTTTAAGCTGCCTTCATGGCTCCCTCCCTGTGCAGAGAGGAATACATACTGAGTTTTAACTGACCCAGTCTGTTGACATGTGCAGTGCATCCCCATTGACTTCTATGAGGCTCGTCTATTTCCGCCTTCCACCTGGGAGACGAGCCCCGTAGAAGTCAGTGGGGATGTAGTGTCAGTACTTTGCAGGTGCTGCCAGGAGATAGACATCCACCACAGACTTTCAATAAACAGCTGAGGCCGGGCCTGTCGGAACTCCGTAAGTAATCCTCTCTGCATGTGGAGGAAGCAGTGATGTCGGCCTAAAGGGGCCTTAAAGTAAGTAAGCAGTTAAAAGGAGAACTATGAGGTCAGGGCTTTTCCACATAGTTCTCCTAAGGGCCACGGGAGAACACAAACTAGCTTTCTCCTGTCACCCAAAGCTCAGTATAACGCGAGCTACATGCTCGCGGTATACTGAGACACCGCAGCCGGAACAGATCCCAACAATTATGTCTGGATCCGCCCAGCTGCGTGAGTGACAGGCAGAGCCTGCTATCTAAAGGCAGAGCCAGCTGTACCCGCCCCCTCCCTGTCAGTTTCGCCAGTCAACGCTGGAGGATCGGACGTGGGAGGGGGGAATCCAGTCCCTCCCCTGTCACGGCTCTCTGCCGACACAGGATCGAGAAGTGAGCGAACGCCTGTATGTGTTCGCTCACTTCCCGATCTACTGAGCCGACCTGTGACAGTTTCATTGTCACAGGTCGGCTCAGATTATGAGGCTGAGTGAAAATCACTCGCCTCAAAATTTTCTTTTTAACGTTGCCTACATATGGTCACATACTTGTATAGCTCCCCAGGAGCCACAAAGCCCAGGAATCATTAATATGCAAAAAGTGGCTGCAGTTCTTGAAGCACTCTTGGGGTGCTTGTCCCTTCTTCATTGCATGCTATTAGTCCTTTCTTGTGATGGATCAATTCAGGGACCTGAGGTTAGTTGTGGGTAGGCCTGAGGTGAAATAATTTTCAAGGCCAATGACACTATTTGCACGTTCCAGTTCTTCTAGTAAGCTCTGCATGTAGCAGTTTCGGTGCTCACCATAAATTAATGTCTGTCTGCAGTTTACAAGATTCGAGCAGGGCAAAGTTCACTGTGCAGTTGACCTCATTAACACGTAATGAAACAAAATGTAAAATGACTGGAGCTTGTCTATATGTTGAGCTAGATAGCGTAGATGGTGAACATTTCTTCTCCTCCACCCGCACCAAATGTGTCCAAAAGCTGCCGGTTTTGTAATTCTGCTGTTAGTGTTAGAGCAGAAGTTCTCCGACACCTTTCTGAGAACGGAAGTAGTCAAACCTTTGTATTGCGCAATGGCTTCCAAATGTATAAGTTTGTATAAAAGTTTCTGTCCGTAGAAAAAAGAATCGGCAATAGTAAGTAGCCATGCCTGGTGCTGCTTTTAAGTAGAACGTTGTCGGTACAACTGAAGGCCAAACTTTTTTTGGATGAATTGGAGAGCTATTAGAACCTCTGTCAGGTTTATATTGCTGTCTGTATACATGTTAGAGATTTACCCCTTCTGTTTGTCCTGATGACTGCTCGGTGAAAAAGATAAAAACTAATTTTGAGGTTGTCATTAGAACAGGAATAGATGGGAAATCTTCCAATATGGACACTGGTTCTGGTGACCCTGCTGACCACTAGGGATTTCCCTCAATTTGGAGGGATTTCCTCCCACTTCCTGTTATGGGTGGAAATCTCCCCAATGGACCCATGTGGGGGTGGGGGGG